CGGCGTAGTTAGATAGTTCACTGGTCGACTGTTATATAAACGTATATTAGTTGTATTGATATTTAAAGTTAATCAGAACAGATATCTTACCATGGTCGCTAACTCTTTTCTATTAATGCCATCCTTTGTAATAAAAAGTCTACTACCGTCTCCGACGTGGATTAACTCTTTTGACAGATTTTCTAAAATGTCGATAGAATTTTCCAAACTGTCTGTTACAGGTAGCATTTTTTTACACTTTGAACAGTCTTTTTTCACCGATTTTTTCGTTCTGTTTGATTTCTTATCTACTACCATGACAGCATTTCTTCCCGTAAAATCCAACTTTGCAGGTGCAGAAATCTTTGACTTACGTCCACGATTACGTTGAATCATCGATGACATAATTGACGATGACGGCTGAGAAGTGGTGCTATTTATACGCATGTATCGTTACACAATGCAAATCTGGATCGAATGTGACGTCTTAATAATCACGTAAATGAATCCTTATATATATTGCTTTCTTGGGAGACTTGCGCTTATCCTTTGAAACAACTCATTTTAGTAAAACTATATTTATTAGAATAACTATCTTCATTGAATCAATGACCACTTAATACAGTGGAATTCTCGTTATAATGGAAATTGGACACACTCCATTATAGCACAAGTTTCCACTCGAAACCCCCAACTTTACGGACACTTAGTTTGTTGGGCTTTTTTTTCTCGTTTATTTAGAAAGTTTTCTAGCTGTAATATACAAGTTATGTCGGACTACGTTTTCAAAACAGCCATCTGTTAACACAAAACACTAAGAGCTTTTGAGCATTTCTACGGTTAGTTTTTAATAATTACTTGCACACTTGGCCAGTATGTTCCGAACCCCGTTTAACCGAAGGACTAAGTAAAACCCGAATTTCTTAGCATTTCACACCTATGTTTCCGACTCACTTCGGTTTAATATTAACGAGATTCACTATGTATTAGGTATATACGTGCAAAAAATATTTATTATAACTACAGTCAAATTAGTTCCTACTTGAAATACATTTACAGCTCTTCTGACGGTACACAAGCCGTTTTACGTCTCATCGCTGACTTCGATAAAATTTAAAAAAGCAATCAGTTACTGACCCGTATTGTTATTAAATTAGTTTAAATACATGTAATGGTAGAGTATTACGAATAATATAGGTAAACTACAGGTTTCAACGACTGCTCAGTACATTAATCGACGATTCCATTATTTATATAAGCGTTTTAGAATCTCCTGCATTAATTAGCCCTTGAAGTGGTTCTAAATATAATTTTTCATGAAACAAAGAATCAGTAATACTACGCGATGTATAAATCCCGTCACTGTACAATCGGCAGATGTGACAAACGCTATGAGTTGTGTAATATAAGACGTACTATAATAATAATAACAATAACCCTTGTGTTTTACCACCAAGCAAAGCTATTTTTAATATGTTGTCTGAATATAAAGCCGTATCATATAAATCCCCCTACCCTGTTTCTGATGTACCAATCCCTTTGTTGTATTGTCGTTGATAAGACATATTATCTAATATTAAATCTCGTTGTTAGCATGAATATATAACTTTGTCGGCCCAGTGTTGTTCTGTAATAATTAACATTCTCGTTGTTACTATTTAACAATTTTAAAACCATTTGTAACTTTCGTTCTTTACCATCTTTTTAAATAATTATTGGGATCAAAAGGGAAAATCAAGATTTTCAAAGTTGGATTTGTAGCGATATTCACTGTTCTAATTCCACGTATCGATTGATACATTATGCAAGATAATCGAAAAAACAAGTAGAAAGTATCGGCTCTGGGATTTTGAATGTTACTTATGGATGTAATGACTTAAATTTAGTGGAAACAGCACCTCAGCGACAAAGTAACATTGAGAGAAGCAGCAAGAGCCCAAAATGTTGTATTAAGCAGTGGCCGACAGATACGGTGTGCTTGTAGAGGCACATGCACTGATAGCCGATGTGGTTGTAGAAAAGCAAAAAAGAAGTGTGACAGTCGATGTCACAAAACTAGCGTTAATTGTAAGAATAATTAAAGTGTGTACTTTTAATATTATTAGGCGTTATCAGCTGATGTGAAAAAATAAAATTAATATATTACATAAAACAGTATGCTTGGTAGTAAACACAATATGACTCACAATAACTAAGAAGAAAAATTTTTAGGGACCATCTCAATTTTGACGGGATTTATACGGGGACAGGATTTATACACGACATATACAGTCGTACCCCTCTATAGTCACCCCCTCTATAAGCACACATATAAAAAACCTCTTTATAAGCACACCATGTTGAGAACCAATTACTATTAAACTTATAGAAAAAATCCTTTATATAGTCACAACCTCTTTATAAGCACACTTCCAGCAAAATTTGCATTGTTCCCGACAGCGTGACTATAGAGGGGTACGACTGTATAATGCATCGGAGTTTTATAAAATTTTTGATTAACCCCCCCCCCCCCAAGAAAAGTAATATTTTAAAAAATTTATTTAAAAATAACCACATTATTGTGTAACGTTTTATTGAATCAATCAATGGGGCATATGATTTTCTAATAATAAAATTAGTACTAGTTGCCAATAAACAGATATTGTTGTTTGCCTTGCATAATATTACGTACGACAAGAGTCCAGAATGAAAAAAAAATTTTTTCCCCAAACGCCGTATAATTGTTCGAATGCATTGTCTGAAAAAGCTTTTTAGGCGCTCTCTGAGCTAACTAAAAATGTTTGTTTTCTCGTTTGTGTTTTATACGCAGCAAGTTTGAATTAACAAAGTTTAGGAATACGGAATGATACACCTTATTGTATGCATGCCATCGCGCAGTATCTTGGAAATCACTATAACAAAAGATTATCGTAACGGCCGGAGATTGTTTAACAATCGTTGTATCATATTATATATTATATTTTATGTATATTTGACATAATTCGGACATTTTCAATCGATAAAATTGGGAAGCAATACAAGGGCGTAACCGCAGTAAACAATTGTTATTAGAACAACAATATATTTAAGTTATGGTTCTGGTCAATTTTAATTGAACAAACAAACTAATCAAACAAAGGCTTTGAATTTAATTGTCTTCGAATAGAACTGAAATTTTAACCCTAATATTAACAATAATTATTATATAAATTCTGAAACTAAATAAGCAAAGACTCTCGGTCCCTAATTCTATATTGGGGGAAAATTGAATGCGATATAATAGACAGCGGTCAATAATCAATCCACTTGATTGTCATCCATATGTACGCAGTGCAACCCATACATCATAGACCATACACATCATAATGATTACGCGCGGAGCATTCCGGCTCACACACAAAAATTTGTTGATATATTGCAAACCAATTATATAGACAGTCAACTCTGTTTATACCGGACAGGTCGGCATGGCTCTCTGTCCTTCTGGAACCGGTATATGGAAAGTTTATAAGAGACTCCGGTATAAACAAAGAGTTTTCATATGGAACGAACGGAGCGCAAGAATCAGTCCGTCCGGTATAAAGAGATTCCGGTATAAACATTTCCGGTATAAACAGAGTTGACTGTATTCTAACCAGCACCTTTATATTTGTTGAAATATGAAAAATTAATATTGGCGGGTTAGCAAACATTATAATTTTGGAAACTTCATACGTAAGTTATGTGACTTTAAAAATTACGCAAAGCTTTGGTGCAAATGAAGTTGAACATGCAGAAGCAACTTACAGAGAAAAGCGAGCTATTAGGTATTATAACTTTCACTATGTATTAATAATCTTCTTTCGTTACCAGAACATTTTGAAATCTTGGTGTTGTTTCCGATGTCAAATTGGATTTTTCAGTCGGGTAACGTTTTAACACAATTTCAATAGTAATTAAGTTTTTCCAGACGTATAATAAGTGATTTGTTTTGCTCTCCATCCGATACTTTAAACATCTGAGTTTATTTTATAAGGAAACGGTCTAAAATAATTTATATTAAACATTAGTTATAACTTGAACAAAGGCCAAGGAACAATTTCAATGCAGATCGATATAGCCTCTATTTGTTTTCTATAATAGTTTTATATTAGTAATAGAATCCTAAATTTGTATATTGAACTGTCTTCTCGCAAGGAAGGTTTGCGTTCCTTTATGATGAGGCTAAAGGTGTTCCTTGTCTTGTGCTCCGCGTTCACTCAAATAACACGTGCTATATTAATATACATCATTGTTACACGACATGGTATAGTACAAAAATGGGCATCGAAATCCCTGCAGCTTTTCTCTTACAAAATCATGAGCATACACTTTTTTGACACTGTCTTTTGACACTGTCCTGATGCCCCTCACAAACGAAATTTTGTTTACGTACCATTCAACGTATTTGTACTATCGGGCAATAATGTTCCATTGAAGGACAAAGCCAAATCGATGTTTGACA